TGAAGGGAAGCCAAAACAGGAGAAATATGCTCTCTCTTTCTAGTCCCTGTCAGGACTCTTGCTGCAGCATTTTGGATTAGCTGAAGGCTTTTCAGTGAGTTTTTTGGACATCCTGATAATAATGAATTACAGTCGTCCAGCCTGGAAGTAATAAATGCATGAACTAGTTTTTCAGCGTCACTCTGAGACAGGATATTTCTAACTTTAGAGATGTTGCGCAAATGGAAGAAAGCAGTCTTACATATTTGTTTAATATGTGCTTTGAAGGACATGTCCTGGTCAAAAATGACTCCAAGGTTCCTCACAGCGTTACTGGAGGCCAAGGTAATGCCATCCAGAGTAAGAATCTGGTTAGATACCATATTTCTAAGATTTTCAGGGCCGAGTACAATAACCTCAGTTTTATCTGAATTAAGAAGCAGAAAGTTAGCGGCCATCCAGGTCTTTATGTCTTTAAGACATTCCTGCAGTTTAACTAATTGGTGTGTGTTATCTGGCTTCATGGACAGATAGAGCTGGGTGTCATCGCATAGCAGTGAAATGTATGCTATGTCTTCTAATGATCTGCCTAAGGGAAGCATGTATAATGTAAACAGAATTGGTCCTAGCACTGAACCCTGTGGAACTCCATAATTAACCTCAGTGTGTGAAGAGGACTCTCCATTTACATGCACAAATGGAGTCTATTAGATAGATATGATACAAACCACTGCAGTGCAGTACCTGTAATACCTACAGCATGTTCTAATCGCTCTAATAGGATATTATGGTCGACAGTATCGAATGCTGCACTAAGGTCTAGCAGGACAAGCACAGAGATGAGTCCACTGTCAGAGGCCATAAGAAGATCATTTGTAACCTTCACTAAAGCTGTTTCTGTGCTGTGATGAGCTCTGAAACCTGACTGAAACTCTTCAAATAAACCATTCCTCTGCAGATGATCTGTTAGCTGTTTGACAACTACTCTTTCAAGGATTTTTGATATGAAAGGAAGGTTGGAGATTGGCCTATAATTAGCTAAGACTGCTGGGTCTAGAGATGCTTTTTGAGTAAAGGTTTAACTACAGCCAGCTTGAAGGCCTGTGGTACATAGCCGATCATTAGAGATAGGTTGATCATATTTAAGATCGAAGAATTAATTAATGGCAGGACTTCTTTGAGCAGTTTTGTAGGAATGGGGTCTAAAAGCATGACAATGATCCCAAACACACTGCCAGTGCAGTAAAAGCACACCTGGATAGAAAAACACACAGCGGAACGCATCAGTCATGGACTGGCCTCCCCAGAGCCCGGACCTCAAAACAGTGTGGAGTCATCTTGACAGGATAAGAAAGAAAATTATAAACAAAATGTGTTTAGAATTTTACATTAAGGTTAACTGTGTGGTTTAAAGTAGCTTGTTATGTGCCCTGTAAAGGTGACCCAGTGCATAAGTTTATTAATTATAAAGTATTTTGCAGTGGTCTTTTAAATGTAAATTTAATGGATCTTACAAGCACAGCTGCACCTAAGTGACTCTGTGAATGTATTTTTATGTTGTTGTTGTTTGTTTTTCTGTTAATGAAATGCCAAAGTGAGCAACCAGTTAACCTTACAAGCCTGTGTTTGGACTGTGGGAGGAGAAGCCATGCAGTTACTGGGAGAACATGCAAAGTAAACACAGACAGGCCCCAAATGACCAGAATGGTTTTTTTAATCCAGAGCCTTCTTTTGTAAAACAATCAAATGCTTTGTTGCTAGTCCTTAACTCATTTTAATTTCTGTAGCATTTATTTCCCCCTTTGGACTCCTATAACTAAACATCATAAATCGTAAATATATCTGCTCCTTCATATCATCCCCTGGACATAGTTTCCTCTTTTTGATTTAGTTTGAAATGTTTCAATAAATATACACTGACAGGACTGTATCATCTCTGTCAGCCTGTCCCAATTCTTCACTGAAGCTTCATGATAAAATAAAATATTTATACCAAAGACCATCCACCCATCTTTTTTAACCTCTTATCTGATAGGGGGAGCTTATCCCAGCAGTCATATGGCGATAGGCAGGACACACTCTGGACTAGTTACCACAGAGAGACACACAATCACACACTCTCACATCAGCACCAATTTACAGTCACCAATTAACCTAACGTGCATGTTCCTGGACTTCATTAGTAAATCCCTGCAGACACAAGGAGAACAAACCCGCTTCAACATGTTTTTGTGTGTTATGTTATACACATTTCCCTAAAGGGAGGGCTTCGGCATAAATTTGAAATAAAGTAATGTGGATTTGGGGTGTGCAGTGGATGTAGTTCATATCAAGAAGGTTCTGGGTGGCTGCCTGTGCCTGCATGGGCTCTCTCCAGCTTCCTCCCCCAGTGCAGAGACATGAATGTTAGGATAATTGGCCATTCTAAATTGGCAGTAGGTGTGGATTTGAGTGACAGCAGTTATCTGTGTCTTCCTATTATCCCTGTGATGGATAGATAGATATATACATAGCCTGCCTCTTGCCAAATGTCAGCTGGGATAGACTTCAGCCCCCCCACAATGCTTGTTGGCTAGGCTGTTAGGAAAATTGATAGGTGGACTAATGGGAATTCAATCAATATATTATTAAAGTCATTTAAATATATGGATACATTGGTAGAAAATATAGGAATGGATGACAAAAGTGCAAAATTGCAGACCACAATTTCAATTAATCCTTTCTTTTAAAGTTCCGTTGTTAAAACTGGCTCACACTTAAAATTTTAGTGACGATCAGGGATATTTAAAGCCATAGATACGTCTGCCTTAGGCTGCTAAATTATAGGTAAAAATCAGTGGATTGCCCCTTTATCTTTAGCCCAGCAGTGTGCTAAATGCAGCCCAGCAAAGGTCAGATTCAACCCAAATGACAGCCTTTTTTAAAAAGTTTTCTTTAATGATGAAAAACCCTACGACTCCCAGCCTAACTGCACAGGAATTAAAATTCATCATTCATCATAAAAAAATCTACTCGTGAAGGTTTTGTGCCTTTCCGAAAAGGCCAAACTGTCTCTCCATGAGACACAAATGAGCATAAGCATGCACACACAAACCCTCCCAGATCCTCTGACTTAGCTTTTGGCAGCAGTGTCACAATTACTACAGACCTCACAGCCTCACCGTTGACTTCGCTGCCTCAACCGACTGTGAGAGCGAGTGTGAGAGTGAGTGCGAGCGTGCGATTGTGAAAACAACTCCAAGTGTTGTTAGATGACTCTACTCTGTAACAGCTCGCTGTGTCAACGTCAGCCGTGCAAGCAGACGGCTAATGAAGGCAGCCCGAGTCGCCACATGGTGCCGTGTGACATGTGCTGGCATCTTCGTGCCTCCTTCACCAACTTTGTTTGGTGACTCTGCACTCCAGAGGATGTGTCTCCTTTTAAGAGGGAATAAATATTCATTGTGAATTCTTCTTCAGCTCAACAAACAGGAAGAAGAACAACATAAAAAGCAAACAAATGTAAATGTCATTGGCTTAAAAATTCTCATCTGTCAACCTGATGAGAGCTGATGGCTCTTGGAATGAAGCCTTTTTCAACAGCACATTGCTGTGGGATATAAATATATATATATAATAATCATTCTTCGGTCACCCAGTCCTATCATTTGCTCATGAAGGCATCACTGTCATGCAGAAATGCACCATGAGGACTCGTATATGCCAAATTCTTGTAGGCAGTCCACTTTAATCCAAAATAAATGTGAGTTATTCTTTTTTAAATGCTGAGAACGCCCATAAGACATATTTGAGAACAATTGCCATAGCAAAATGCTTTCACATTAAACGCTTTGTTAAAAAAAATAATAGCTGCTGGACTTAACTGTGTGTTACACAGAGACTTTAAGCTAAACTACAGGCTAGTGAGGTCATAGACAAAGTTGAAGTTGAATGTCCACCATAAACTGGCAGACTTAAGGCCCACACTGGCTGAGGAGAGGATGCGATACCAGAATGCAGCCACATTTCTGTCCTTGATGACTGCATTAAGATTGAATAAAGAATTCGATGGCAGACAATTACCTGTCCTTAAATATAGAAGAAAAACAGAACTTTCTGGAATTCATTCTTACTCTGCCTGAGCAAATCATCCCTGGATCGCTTACATATGAGACTGCTCACCAGGTCATCTAAAACCTCCCATGTCACACCAATTCTGTCCTGTTGACACCAGCTCCTCATTAGGTTTAAGGTTTTTCACTCTCAGAGCTCTTCATGGTCAGATGCTTCCTTAAATTAGTAAATGCCTACATCCATACCTAACTACGGGGTGTATGAAGTGAGCTGATCGATGCTTCTTAGAGGTACTTCAGTCCAGGTTAATGACCAAAGAAGATCGTGTTTTTGAGATGTGGCCTCCAAGTTGTGGGATTTGTTTCCAGTTGTATTGTTGTATCTTATTTTATCCTGTAAGGCACTTTGTGACTGCCTCTTCCTTTCTGTGCAAAGTAGCTTTGTCAGCTATTTAGGTTACCTTCGAAAAAAAAAATGTCACAGTTAAGTACACCAGCCTGTAGATCCACCTTTAGCATCAATAACTGGAAGTGATCGTTTCTGTGTGACTTTATCAGTCTCTCACATTGTTAAAGAGGAATTTTGTTCCAATATGTTTTTTGGCTGTTTATTTTCTTCCTTAACAAAGGTGGTGGAGTTTAGCGAGTTTTTTCTCAAAGCAGACTTGATTGGAAATCATGGAATGCACAATAAGTGAATGTGTGTGCTCTGTGTTTTACATTAATTGTAGTCAGTGACATTCATAATTTGACCAATTATAAATCAAAGTGTGACATCCTGGTTGAATTTCCCAGCTTAAAGGTCAGTTTATGCAGCTTATTTACTATACCTAAAGGTTAAAATGTGCATAAAGCCCTACATCACCTCCCCAGACCACAGTGTACACTGAATAACATGTATTACTACACAGCAATGTGTAACACTGACATCTAATATCACTTGTCTGTCACTGTGTCCTCCTGCTCCAGGTACGTGTCTGATTCTGGGCTGCATGATCTACCCAGATGGCTGGGACAGCGACGAGGTGAAAAGGATGTGTGGCGAACAGACGGATAAGTACACACTAGGCGCCTGCTCGGTGCGCTGGGCCTACATCCTGGCCATCATGGGCATCCTGGATGCTCTCATCCTCTCCTTTCTGGCCTTCGTCTTAGGAAACCGCCAGGACAGTCTGATGTCTGAGGAGCTGCTAGGAGACAGTAAGAAGACACCTGCACACGCTTCCCCTTTGGGGCAGTTTTTATGGTGTTTTATGGTAATATTTCAAGAAATTACGTTATCTGCACCTCACCAGGTGTGGTCAATTAGCAATTAAGCCTAGGCAACACCTGAAGTGTCTGCAAAGACGATAAGGGGTGCAGAGAGGTTTAACAATATAAATTATATATATACCTATGGTATGGTAGAATTTTTAAGACTGGTATCGATGTGTATACCGATACCAAAACCAACATTCCAGTATGTCAGCCGATTACATTTTCTTTCAGACAAACAAAAACACAATCAAATTTCTCTAATATTTGCTATGTGTAGTTATTTATTCAAATAAATGATTCAAACAGGGAAGCTGCAGAGTGCCCTCTGGTGGATAAACTATGCAACATCAACACTCATAACGTGGTTAAAGGGTGTTTCTCCTGTCTCTTTATTTTTTTACATTTTCATATAAATGCAGAGGCCAATAAATTGACAAATCTGTAATATTGGCTGATAATATGAGCCTGCTGGTAATTCGGTTCAGATGAATCAGTCAATCACATCAAAACACTTGTTGTTAGGCACACTTATACAACCTGCTCAAAAATAAGCTGGAAAAGTTTTCCTGTGATTGAACATCTAAGCCCTGCAGAAAGTCATTACCCGTTGTTCGTCAGATTTGTGTCGTCATTGCAAATGCAATTTCTAAGAATAAATAAATAAATATCTTTATTACTTTCCAAACCCATTTTATAGTAATTGAGGCAGTTGGGTATACAGCAAACAAATAACGGCTGCAGTGCAATTATACCTGAAATGAGATCCGGGCTGTTTTCAAAGCAAAACAAAAGAGGTGCTACTGAACTTATTAAAAAATCAATTTGACTGCTGGACTAAGAGAATAAGCAGCAGGTCCCACCAAGATTTTATTCCACTTCTGGCCTGGGGGATGTTTCATAAGTGTTCAAAGTCTCAAAGCATTTTGTTTGTTTTGTCAAGCCTGGAGACATTAAACCTATGACTTCAGTCCTCACTACTTTTGCTGTGTTTTTCTGCTTAACTGGCCTTTCTTCTCACATCAAAGACATCATGTTTCCCCACATCCCAGCAGCAGCTTTAAATAAAGAAAATACCTTTTATTTGCTTGCATGATTTCACATGCACAAGCTCTTAATTTGCATACATTAGACGGGACGTTATACACCACCTGCTCGGCTGGTTTTGTTTGCTCCTGTTACCAGTGAGATTTTTCTTTCTTTGACTGGGCTCAATGACAACTACGCTCGAACCCAAAGAGGATGATTTAAAACCGCGAGGAGGCTGGAAGGAGGCAGGAATGCAGATGAAGGAGGACAGAGATGAAAAGCAATCGGAGATGGGCAGAAAGAGAAAGACGGGCAACTGAATGGAAGAATGCACCAATAGCAAGGGTTAATTGAAGCCTGGGGATGCTGGACAGAGTCATGAATTACTAATGGCTGTTTACACAGCTTGCTGCCAGCCTGTCTAAATGAATCACAGCCACCCTATCAGCCGGGACACAGTTGCCTGTTAGCTCATATAAGCAAAGTGACTGAGAGGAAGAAGCCATTATCAACCTAGAGACCGGAGAGTGAGGACAAGACAGAGGGAGAGGGATAATGAGGCGAGGAGGACAATGAGAGAGGGAGAGAGGCAAATGTAGATGAAATATGATCCCCAAAGTGAAAATGGGGGATTCATCAAACAGCAGATGAAGTGTAAATGGGATGTTTTTCTTATCCTGTCACTCAGGAGGATAGATTGTGACACCTGTCCGAGTTTGAAACCTGAGGAAATCAGAGGAGGAGGAGGTGGGCTAATTGTATGATGTTTGATTCTGTAGGGGCAGGAATGTTATGCAATACTGCCGCCTGCTGGTTATGACAACTTCTTCATACTTTCCACTCACATCCCTTTCTTCTTCCACCCCCACAGAGAGCGGTAATAACGCCATATAACGTCTGCTGATGCCATTGCAGCAACACACACACAGGTAAGTGTGTCATTGTAGAGCACAAGAACAATCTCTAAACATTCAAATAAAAATAATAATGTCTTTCCTCATTACAAAAACATTTTATCCCACCTTTTTTTCTCCTTCTTAAGCCCACTAAAACCTAAAAGCCTAATTTACTGATTGAGGTGAAATAAAGGTTTTCGTGGCAATTAAAGTGAGACTATGAATTTTAAAGCATTCTGCCTCTCTTACAAATCAATACCTGAATTCCTGAGTAATAAAATTAGCCAATAAACTTGGGGTTTTTTGAGCCTGTACTGGCTAATGTTAGAAAGCTGTCTAGAAACAGCAGATGTGTTGCTGTATTACTCAGTTAATTTACTGACTTCATTTTCTGGCTGTGGTCCCTCTCGCCTCATGAGTCAGTTCGCCTGTTGACTGTGCCTTTAAACTTTAAAGACACCTCAATCTCCTCGATCGGCCGCTTTAAAGTTTAAAGCGGCTGAAAGTTTAAAGCAGTTGATTGAAGTGCAAACAGTGGCCGCAGCTCATGAAAGGTAGCAGTCTTACTTTTTAAGCTACAACCACCACCACCACCGTCGCCACAAGCAATAAGAAATGATAATCTATTAATAATAAAGCAATAATATATTTTTGACAGTCTGTCACATTATGTTCAAACTCTCGCATTACCCCCCTCTGCAACCCCTACTTACCTTACAGTAATAGTGTGAGAGCGTTTGGTGTTTTTGGTGTTTAACTGCTGATTGTCTAAGGTGTGGATACTGGCATGCCTGATGCTGGCTTCTCATATGTAGTAATTTGAAATATAGTACACTGAAAAAAGAGAGGTGAGTTTTATGTTTTTGTTTTAAATCCATTGCTCAGTATCTAATTTTAATCTCTTAGAACACCCAAACAGATTATCTGAGTAGTTTTCGGTTCTGGTTTATTGGTTTTAGTCAGTGATGGGATTGGTAATTTTGCTTAACGAGCACAAATGAACTCACTTGTACAACTCAGAACTGATTCAGTGTGCTGTATTCCCAGGCCAGTGGTGTCAGAGCACTAAAAGAACAGTGTACAAGACTCTGTCATCGGCTCTTGCTGAAGCCTTGTACATCCATGAGAGCACCATCTCTGAGCTGACTGTTCTTGGTGGAAATGTGATTGGATAGAGGTGCTGAGATGAGGCACTTCAAACTGTACTTCTGCCATTCTTGTGGCAAAACCTTACTCATGACTGTGCCCACACCCACAGCGCCAGATCATGGAAGGTCTTTCTGGATCAGGAGCATGCCCAGACACTTGCCTGACCTGTATTTAGCCCCGATATGTCTCCTGCTGGGGCAGCACAGTGAGACAGTTAGCTTTGTTTCCTCACATAGAGAAAGTCCTTGGTTTGAATCTACTGGTCAATTGGGGCCATACCCATGGGTACTCTAGCTTCCTTACAGAGTTCAAAGATAGGCATTGGTTAGGTTAAGAGTGCCCCAGCTTGCACTCTTAATTGAATAAGATGATGGGGCGTATACCTCTCATATATCCATTCAGAAATGTGCAGTATTGTGAGCAACCCTTCACTTCTTTAGGTTCTACAGCAACTTATTGAACAATGTGCAGACATGCATGGAAACTGAGTATATAAGGCAAAAGTGGAGTTTGTACAACTCTAATGAGCTTGAAAGTCAATATTTGGTGTTACTGCCTTTTTTCTTCAACGCAGCCTGAAGCCATGCTTTCTTGTAATTTCTTTAAGTAGCTCTCGAAGCTTTATGAAGGACACTCAAAGCTCTTGTTGGAATGTTGGCTGCCCTTTCTTCTGTTTTCTGTCCAGATAATCCCACACTGCTTCAGCAATGTAGGTCTGGGTTCTGGGGAGGCCAATAAGTGTTTCATTGTGTGTGTTTTTCTATCCTGGTATGCATATGGAGCTTGGAAAGAAAACAACTGGACTTCTTCAAGTTTAGTGAACATCTTTCACCTCTCATCCAAGAAGCTTCTTCAGTTCTGAACTGAAGTCAATGCTCTTTATAAGTCAATGCTGAGTGTTTCAACCAACAACAAAAAAAAAAGACTTTCCACTGAAAATGGTCAGGTACAATCACTGGACTGAAAACTTTGAAAGACCTTCAGAAAGCTTGGAGAACTATTGCTCAGATCCACTTTTTAAAAAATTACAACAATTTTGAGGCAACTCAAGACTTTGTACAGGACTGTATATTATAGTGTTTATCTATAAAAATCTTAAAAAAAACAACTTTTTTCGACTCATAAAATAACATTTCTAAAAATGCTGGTGTCTGTCTCCATTTTATGTTGCAGCATATGAGCCAAATATTAACATTAAATCCAGGACACCAGAGTTTGCCAACCTCAGGCATGCTGTTATCCACCCCTTGTCAGGTGCAGACAATCAGCAATTAAACTCAGGCAACACTCTCAGACTGCAGGCGAGCACAGGTGCTTTTTATCATACCACTATACGGCCACACTAACTGTGAGTTAAGCCACATTTAGTAATCTATGTCAATAGAGAAACGATGAGAAATGATGCGTGTTTTAACAATGTCACGTCAGCTTCTATTTAAACCAAAATGTGAAGCATGCATAAAATCTGTAAAGTAGAGATGAAAGAAAACAGTTGAAAATAATCAGTCTGTCTGTTCTTTCATATAAGAATAAGTCTTGTAATAAGTTTATGAAGCTCTTTAAACCTTAGTATGTAACATGGGGCATTTACCTGAGTATCTTTATGTGTGCATACAGTCTAAACTGCATATTATGCATTTATATAAAGATAAAAATAACATACAGATTACAGTTTGTTGCAATTTCTGAGGTATTTTTTGCCCCCCCCCCCCCCCCGCCCCCCCCCCCCCCCCAAAAAAAAATTTGATCTAAGTATGAAGGGTCTAAATAAAACTGCAAAATGAGTCCTTAAAATATTCAAAGGCCAAAAAGAATCAAATTTTTACAATTGAATCTTATGTTAGGAAAAGATTTTGACTTCCATCCTTCCATTCCATCCATCCATCTTCGTCTGCTTTATCTGGGGCCGGGTCGCGGGGGCAGCAGCCTTAACGAGTAAGGCCGACCTCCCTCTCCCAGTCACCTCCTCGCAGTCTTGTCCGGGGAAACAAGGCGTCTCCAGAGCCGAGAGTATCTCTCACGTGTCCTGGGTCTGCCCGGGGCCTCTCCCGGTGGGACTCCTGGAAACTCACCCAGGAGGCGCCCAGGGGGACCTGTAGAGCCGAAACTCAGCATGGTCCTTTCGAGATGTGGAGCGGCAGCTGCTCTACTCTGAGCCCTCGCAGATGGGAATTCTCACCTATCTCTAGGGAAGAGGCCAGCCACGCTTCGAGAGGAAGCGTCATATCTGCCGCTTGATCCCGATCTCGTTCTTTCGGTCACTATCACAGTCGTGCCAAGAGTGAGGGTAGGGACGATAGATCACCGGTAATTGAGAGCTTCGCATTTTACCCAGCTCCCTCTTCCACGACGGCCCGGTGGAGCGTCCGCATTTCTAGCGCAGACTGCACCGCAGACAATCCGTCTGTCGATCTCCGGCTCCCTTTCCTCTCGCGGAACAAGACCGAGATACTTGATCCTCCACTGGGGCAGGAACTCATCCGCCCGGATGGGCACTCCACCCTTTTCCGGCGAGAACCATGGCCTGAGATTTGGAGGTGCTGATCTATCCCGCTGTCTTACACTCGGCTGCGAACCTGTTCCAGTGTGCGGCTGGAGGCCTCCCCGATGAAGCCAACAGAACACATCATCGCGAAAATAGAGATGAGATCATGAGCCACCAAAGGAAGCCCTCCGCGATTGGTGCAGCCTAGAAACGCTGTCATAAAAATTATGAACAGAACGGAGACAAAGGGCAGCCCTGGCGAAGCCCAATACCGCACGGGAGAGTCGACTTATTGCGGCAATGCAACGCAAGCTCTGCAACGGTTGTATAGGGACGAATGGCCCTAGCAATGCGCCAGACACCATATCCCGCAACACCCACGGACACCCCGAGGGACACGGTCGAATGCCATTCCCAAGTACAAAACACATGTAGCCTGGTTGGGCAACTCCCTGCATCTCGAAGTATCCTGGAGAGAGATAAAGAGCCTGGCCATGTTCCGCGACCCGAGGCGAAAACTCGATTGTCCTCCGTACCGAAGGTTCGATAACGACGAACTCTCCTTTCAGCACACTGCATAGATTTCCCAGGAGGTGAGAGTGTTGATCCCCTGTATTGGACACACCCTCGGTCCCCTTCTTAAAGATGGGGACACCACCCTGGTTCTCAGTCCAAGGTACTCCCCTGACTCCACCAACATTGCAGAGGCGTGTCACAGGACAGCCCTACAACGTCCGACTTCAGATCGGGGGGACTCATACACAGGGGCTCTGCCACAAGGATTTGTGTGTGCAGTACTGTCCTCGAAGTGACCTCGCCCCCGGAAATTGGCGGGTCATTCCCCTCATCCCCAGACTCTGCTTCCTCCTCGGAAGACGTGTCAGTGGGATTAAGGAGGTCCTCGAAGTATTCCTTCCACCGCCTGACAATTTTCTCAGTCGACGTCAGCAGCGCTCCGCCAGCACTATACACAGTGCAGGTAGAGCACCGCTTTCCCCTCCTGAGACGCCTGACGGTTTGCCAGAATCTCTTCGAGGCAGTCCGAAAGTCTTTTTCCATGGCCTCTCCGAACTCCTCCCACACCCGAGTTTTTGCTTCAGCCACTGCCCGAGCCGCATTCCGCTTGGCCTGTCGATACCTGTCGGCTGCCTCCGGAGTCCCACAGGCTAACCAAGCCCGATAGGCTCCTTCTTCAGCCTGGTGGCTCCCTTCACCTCTGGTGTCCACCATTTGGTTCGGGGATTACCACCACGGCAGGCACCAACCACCTTGCGGCCGCAGCTCAATGCAGCAGCTTCGGCAATGGAGACGCTGAACATGGTCCAATCGGACTCAATGTCCCCAGTCTCCCTCGGAATGCTGTTGAAGCTCTGCCGGAGGTGTGCGTTGAAGATCTCACAGACTGGGGCGTCTGCTAGACGTTCCCAGCACACCCTCACTACGCGTTTAGGTGCACCAGGTCTGTCCAGCGTCCTCCCCCGCCACCTGATCCAACTCACCACCAGGTGGTGATCAGTTGACAGCTCAGCCCCTCTCTTTACCCGAGTGTCCAGAACATATGGTCGCAGGTCTGGTGATACGATTACAAAATCGATCATCGACCTGCGGCCTAGAGCGTCCTGGTGCCACGTGCACTTATGGGCACTCTTATGTTCGAACAAGGTGTTCGTTATGGCCAAACTGTGATTTGCACAGAAGTCCAATAACAAAACACTGCTCGGGTTCAGATCAGGGAGGCCGTTCCTCCCAATCACGCCCCTCCAGGTCTCGCTGTCGTTACCCACGTGAGCATTGAAGTCTCCCAGCAGGACAACAGAGTCTCCAGGTGGAGCACCTTCCAGCACCCCCCCTAGGGACTCTAAGAAGGCTGGGTATTCTGAACTGCCACTCGGCGCATAAGTGCAGATGACAGTCAGGACCAGCTCCCCCACCCTAAGGCGCAGGGAACAAACCCTCTCATCCACCGGGAAAAACCCCAACGTACCGGCAGCAAGCCGAGGGGATATTAGAATACCCACCCCAGCCTGCCGCCTCTCACCAGGGGCAACTCCAGACTGAGACAGAGTCCAGCCCCTCTCCAGGAGACTGGTTCCAGAGCCCAAGCCATGCGTAAAGGTGAGCCTGACTATAATTAGCCGGTACCTCTCAACCTCACTCACTAACTCAGGCTCCTTCCCCACCAGAGAGGTGACATTCCATGTCCCGATTGCCAGTCTTGGCAGCCAGGGATCAGTCCGCCAAGGCCTCCGCTCCTGGCCGTCGCCCAGCACACAATGCACCCAACCCCTATGGCGCCTCCTGCGGGTGGTGGGCCTGCGGGAAGATGGGCCCATGTCCCCTCTTCGGGCTGTGCCCGGCCAGGCCCCATGGACTATGGCCTGGCTCCAGGGCGGGGCCCCGGTAACCCTATCCCAGGCAGGGTAAACTGTTCCCTCGATGTTTTCTTCATAAGGGTCTTCTGAATCGCTCTTTGTCTGGTCCCTCACCCAGAACCAATTTGCCATGGAAGACCCTACCAGGGGACAAAAGCCCCCAGACAACATAGCCCCTGGGATCTCTGGGACACACAAACCCCTCCACCACGATAAGGTAGCGATTCACGGAGAGGACTTATTCTGTAATTTGTAGCTGACCCATTATAAGCTCACTCACAGGGGGAAGATATGGTCTCATAATCTGATGAATATATGAACTATTGATAAGATTTAATGTATTTTACATACATAATTTAAAAAAAAACTATTTTGTACATCAGTTTAAAGCAGATTTTCCTAAAATGAGATGTATAGACTCACATGAACCCTGTTCTCCAACCTCCATTTCACATAACTGTTGCTCCATTCTCTCCTCTTGTGTTTATCTTCTCTGTCATGATATGAACACCAGAGCTGAGAGGCCACAATAACATTAAGCATTCACTTTACTTGCATTATGTTTTTTACTGCCACCATTTTGGCAGTTTTTGCAACCATACTTCACAAGCGAGAGGTGGATCTAACTGAGAAGCGGAAGGACACAGCACGTTCACTGGGTAGAAATTTGGTAAAGCACACCCTGATGCAAAATGGACAATATATAGGAAATATTAAGGGCTTGGACACCACAAACTCACAGTCTACACACATACATGTAAAGCAGAGCCCAGAATAATGTTATAACATGAGAATTGGCTGAATTCACCCAAATCTTCCCACGTGGTTCTTAACTGGAAACCAACCAGTACGAAATAAACAAAAAAAATTAGTAATCACAACCCCTCCTGTCATTTACCCTCCAGCTTTCTTACCCACTGCTTCTGATGAGAAAGAGCCAAGTTTAATTGTTGTGTTTACAAGCAGTTGCCAATTATTTTTCTTGCATTATCACATCATGTGCTTAAATTATTTTTTATAATAAATAGATGATGTGCGCACAAGACCTACTCTTGGATTTAAAGACAAAGATTTTATTCAATTTTATTTATATATCTCGAAACCATAGCAACAGTCACCACAAGGCATTTAATATTGGAAGCTAAAGATCATCATGGTTCCAAACTATGTTAATGTCAGCTGATTCTACATTATTTTTCTCAGTGTCTGCAGGTCTTACCACCTAGATGTAAAGTCACTTCAGGATCCAGCTTTCCTCTCCTAGTCAACCTTGGAGCTTGGATGCAGAACTGATGAGTGGAGAATCAACATCAAAGAAGAAGAAGGACAGGAGGAAGTCTGGAAGAAGCCACACAACCTCATTATGGAGACTAGGAGACCTTTTGTCCTCCCTGGAAGCTCTTTCTGTAAAATAGTCCTCAGTTGCATCTCAAACTGCTAATTTTTGCAGGATAAATACATTAAAAGACTTTGCCCGTCTTGGTAGGTTCATCATCACACCTGAGCTGTTCTGGAGGCGAGGATTGCAGGAGTGCAGAGGTTCAGCTGAAAAATAAAATTAAACAAAGTGTGAAAGACATGGCACATCAGCTCCAGGACACAGTTTGGACAAATACCACAGAGTGGCATCCGCTCAAATCGAATTAAATCAGAACGCATTAACAAGACTTTGACCGACACAAATAAGGTCTTAACAGACTTGAGGTCAAGGCTGTCAGATCTTCTTTCTTATCACGTCAACAAACTTCCTGCAAAGGACTCCAGCTTCGACACAGTTTGACCTTTTAATTTAAACACGAGCATTGTCTGCAGAGATGTGAGGGACTGGAGAGAATGACAGGCTGGATAAGCGAGCAGGAAGAACACAGCTGTTTTCTTATAATTAAATGTTTGATGTGATAGAATCAAATGGTAGTAATTAGAAGTTTTTACTGGTGAGGACTGTGCAAAAACAGAGTAAAATATAAGTGTACTAAAAGGGCGAAAACATTGGTTATATAAAGTCTATAATCTGTGTATAGCTGTATGTTGATTGTGTCCCTGTGCTTTGTCTTAACTTTAAATTGTACATTTTGAAATGTCATTTTATTGTACCATTAACAGTATGTGCCATAGAGTATCTTGTAATCTGGCAGTATTGTGAGGAACTAAAAAGGGAGTAAGTGCTGGACTCGAACTGTGGATAGGTTTTGTATTGTTGTATCTTTCTTATTTTTGTTTCCTGTCATCCTTCGCTGTCTCACAACAAGAAAAGAACGAAAGGAAGAAATGAGTCTAACTTACAATAAATGTGTTAATGGAAAGAACAAAAGAACTTAACAGGTTATGTGTTTTTGTTTTGGTGCTGAGGTTAGTTGCCTTCAGGTTGGTAGGCTACCGGTTTGGCCTACTCAGAAGGCCGAACTACTTATACCCGTCTGAAAAACGTAACTTACACATATCTGTTTTTCTACACCCATTGGGTTTAACAAATAACTTACAGTTTTGGTCAGAAGTTTACGTACAGTCATCTTGGACATGAATGTCCAAAAAAAAAAGAAAGAACTGGATCCCCAAGTTTAAAATAGTTTTGGATTTTCTCTAAAACATAAACAGGCACAGATCTGGCTTTTAAGCCTAGTGCACAAATTTTCAACTGGGTTGGTCGTAGCTTTGGTCATTCAGGAAGCTTAAACAGCTGGAGGATCATCATTTCAAGTCCAGAAAAATATGCAAACTGTCACCCTCAGATGAACTGGTTAGGATGCTCAGGAAGCAACAAGGCTCAAGACTGCAATGAACTGGAAACTGCTGGAACACCAGCATCAGTGTGCACAGTGAAGGAGGTTCTATATCCTTATGGACTGAAAGCATCCTGACCAAGAAGGAAGCCCCTGCTCCAAAATCAAAAACTTCAACCTTGACTGAAATTTGCAGATGTTCACACGGGCAAGCCAAATGCTGTCTGGAGAACGGTTTCATGGCCAGATAAGAAATTAAAGATGTATGGTGCACAATCTTTCCAGTGTCGCAAAAGAGCAGTTCAAGTAAATCATTAAAAACCCCAAATTACCATGACATTCATGCCCATGATGGTATTTGCAATTGTCTGATCACAACTGCATAAGTGCTTCATAAGGGACTTTTAGAGATGCTGTTTGCTGGAAACTTGCCCTTACTCTGTGCCAGGCTTGCTAACAAGTGCTACGCTACACCTGTTTCTGTGACCCCCTGACATTATGTGACCTGAGGTAAGTATTTACTCACTGTTCTTGACACCTGTTGACCAAGCACTAGCACTTATTCTGTATATAAAAAACTATAATCTGACCATGACCTACATTGTAGCCTGCTAAATATGTCTTTAGAGAAATCATCTTCCATGAACATACTTACCAGCTATCAAATACTTACAGATTGGAAAACATGGTACTCATAACAAAAATGTCTTCATAAGACATCACATACTCTATTCTGTTTTCCCTCTCTCTCCTTGAATAAAAATATAGGTTTTGCACTTGAGCAAGATGCACTTCTTTTCCACTGCATGTGTGCCTTTACGGGCCTTTTTTCCAGATGACCGAGTGAAGTAAAAAGCCATAATAAAGCACTCCTAAAGAAAGTACTCCCCTTATAATAGGTTTTCTCACAATCTTTAGCGAGTAAACACAGTTAATAAGTGGAGATTAATCAGTTTTACATTACACCTGTAGATGCATACCATCCTCAGCTCGTATGTCTCACTTCTCCTAGAATTTTTTTCAATTGTTAGTTCAGGTAATTAAATATTGAATTGCTACTATGTTCATACAGTAAAATCAAGAAGCACTTCATAATACAGCCGATGACCTGTAGTGTGATTTACCCACATTTCAGTACCTGAAAACAATCTGAAGACCTTAAAGGAAATAAGAAACAAATTATATTTAAGTATTTTTAAGTGATTGTTATTTTCAGATTATTTCTGCGCAGAAGAAGATGTGAGCTGGTTTAAGTTGGTTTTTGGAGGGGAAAAACACTGATAGTGTAGAAGTCTTTAAAAACTCACAAAAACTGTATGTATCAAATATGGTGCACTAGGCAGTAAGGGGTTAAGCCTCTTCACACTGACCTATGAATTATTCAGGCAAAATAAAGCCATCTAGTGCCAAAACTGTGGATTCTGTCATGGAACAAAAGACAGCCAACATCCAAAGAAAAGCTTGAAATGACCTTCAAGAAGCCTGGCACACAGTTCCTGGAGACTACTTAAAATACAAGAAAGCTTGGCTAAGATAGTTCAGTCTGTGTTGAAGAACAAAGATTGTCATAGCAAACATTGACTTTCAAGCTTCTTAGAATTGTATAAACTGTTTGGAGTTGGGGTTTTTTTTTACCTTGTGTGCTACATTTTTCCAATTTCGTTTGCAAGTGTTTCAGTAAATCACTAGTAAAATATTTATATAGATAAAACAAAATGAGGGGTTGCTTAAGATGTTTTTTCACTGTACTATAATAACCTATAATAACCACTGTGACAATACATCAAGTATAGTTTTTGCCTCTTTTCTTTTATAATATTAATATTTTAAAAATACTCTTGCTTGTAAAACACTAACAGTATAATTAGCATTTGCTTATCAAAAATAAATAGATACATTGGAAATGTTGGGAAATAACACTACATTGTCAGCTATCATAGCTAATAGAAATACAGTAAGTAATATAAATACTTAATTTAATACTAATACTGCATGGTGGTATAAATTTGGTAACATCACGATCAAAATAAAAAAATACTTATTTTAAAAATACATTGAGCTGCTATGCTGCTGGCATATTATGGCTTCTGCACCTTTCTGAACAGAAACGAGAATTCCTGTTACGTCACTGTTACCACAGCAAGCTGAAGGAGTCCTGATTGTTTGCCTTGCCACCCAAGGACACCCATCAACATTCTTGATCCAAAAGGTCCACATACCACTTCTAAAATAATAATAATGACAATAACAGAAAGGATTAAATATCTGGGTTGCTATACAGATGCAACCCTGCAGCACATTATGAAAGATATATTTTTTAAAATAAAAAACTCCACATTTTCTTAGAACACGTGATTTGCCAGAATCTCTTCAAGCCAGTCCAAAAGTCTTTTTCCGTGGCCTGTAAGAACTCCCCGCACACCTGAGTTTTTGCTTCAGCCACTACCCGAGCTGCGTTCCAGTTAGCCTTTTGGTAGTTATCAGTTGCCTCTGAAGTCCCACAGGCTAACCAAGCCCGCTTGGACAGTCTTGCTCAGGCACCAACCACCTTGCAGCCACAGCTCAGTGCAGCACCTTCATGGAGGTGAAGGGGTCCCTGAACATGGTCCGTTCTGACTCAATGTCCCCAGTCTTCCTCTGAATGTACTTGAAGTTCTGCCCAAGGTGAGGGTTGAAGATCTCTGCCAGGCGTTCCTCCGCCACCTGATCCAACTCATCACCACTTGACAGATCATTTGACAGCTCAACACCTTTCTTCAACCAAGGGTCCAGAACGTATGGCCACAGATCTGATGATATGCTTCCAAAATTGATGCCCTGTGGTCTAGGGTATCCTAGTGCCACTTGCACTTATCTACAGCCTTATGTTCGAACATGCCTGTTATGGACAAACTTTGGTTTGCACAGACACCCAGTACAGAACACCGCTTGTGTTCAGATCTGGCAACATGAAGTCTAAGTTTGATTGTTCATCCATGTTCCTACTTGCACCTATGGTCACACGCTCTGAGCAGTCTAATTGAAAGAATGAGGTTATATAGGTGGATATAAGCAGTGGAAATGAGCTAGGGTGGCTAGGCTCAGCCTTACAAATAGAATAGGAGGGACTTAGGCTACGTTTTTTGTCTGCTTGTTCACACTACAAATAAAATGCGACAGCAAACGCTCTCTAGTGTGAACGCTCAAAGCGGTCCGCATGCGCAAAAGAAGACGTCACACACAACGCACTCCGTTTATACCCAGAGCAAACAATATTGTTTGGCTGATGGCCCTTAATATAAAGACTTCCGACTTTACGTTTCCCAATTTTTGCTTTAAGTTATTTTGTTATTTACATAATAATGTAAATAACCTAATAATTATCCTTATTGCTGTTTTAGAGGAGCGGTACTTCAAAGGATAGTTGCAGATTTCTGTCAGAATCTGCAGATTATACAGTACAAATACAATGTTCACGTTTCCCCAACGTTGTCTTCCCAACAGTTTCACTAACATCTACACTTATTGGCCAGGAAGCGTTTGCGATGTCTTCTCCGGAGCTGATAATTGGCGTCTGTCTTGTGTCAGTGACGTAAAAGACGGATTTAATGCGACATGACCGTTCAAACAGCAGTCGCTTTCTAAAACATCGGATATGTATCGGATTCAGTACCACATACGAAAGTGACCCAGATCGGATGTGAAAATATCGGATTTGTGCCGTTCACACTGTCATACCATGATCAGATATGGGTCGAGAAGTTGTTCTTTTCTGCTTAGGCTGATTTCCACATGACCCAAGCCCAGATAAGTGGGAGAAAATGAATGGATAACTGTTGAAAGATCTTAAACTTTCACAAAGTTGTAGAAAATAACAGAACTGCTTTTATATCCTTCTTTGTGATGAGTAATGACTTGTAGGTCTAAATGTGCAGCAAACGGAGAACTCACATGTGAGTCCTGGTTGTTACCCTCACTTCCAAAACACTGAAGGGCAGAGGAAGCATCATAATCATTAAGGGGGGGGGGATATAATTTTTGGCATGCACACCAGCTACTTGATTAAAATCAAGACATGTGCACGGCCATCTGCTCACATGAATCCTAACAGCCTTCAGGGGGCTGTACACCTCTTAGAGGGAAGATTAGTCTCTTTGTTAGAGGAAGTTATGAGTCATTATTGGCTATTTTGTTTCAACCAGAGACTAAAGCCTAATCACTATAGTGCCTCGTGAGGCCGTAATGCTCGTTATACACTCAAGGCAAAATTGGATGGATGTATGAATATAGACGGTGTTGCTATTATTGGAACCACTACAAGGGCAGGATGACTTCAGAGTAAAGCCACACTGTGCCCTAAATCAGAAGGGTCCATCCGCTATACGGTGACCTTGTCATGACATCTCAGCTCCATGTGATCTCACTTGGCTCAGTTTCTTTTATTCTTAACTTTACTTTGAGCTGAATAAACATTTACTCTCTGGAGGACAAAGCCATCCCCACCCGCTAACATTAGGTGTGTAAATAAATCCTCGTTAGACCTTCCTCAAGGGAGTGCCTTTCCTTATTTTTGGTCATATATATGTTGCTGGAGGCTTTAGGCTGCTATAAATGTTCAGTATCAGACATTTTTTCCACTCTTTGACAAATGTCATTACTGCCAGTAAGGTCATCTACTCCTGTCCCACACTTTTTATTTGCAAGTGGCAGCCAATCAAAAAGAAAGTTAGCTTACAGGGAGAGGAGGGGTGATGCAACAACACCCACTACAAGAAAAATAAGGATTAATTTGAAGTGCAAATGATGCACAGCTACTCTATAAAGGCTCTTCCACACCGATGTGTGGTATTTCATGCATTACACATATTTTGGACTCTACTTTAGACCTATTCTTAATGCAGCTGTACACAGCCTGTGTTATTTTGCAGGATGAATTTGAAGCCAATTGGACCACTGCATTTGGCAACAAGTGCACTCTTAGATGAAAACGTGCATCAGTACTGAATATACAATGATCTGGAAATGGTAAAATTCCATCATTTAAACTCAGACACACAGCTAGACGCTGCTCTGGATCAGCTGGAGTTTGTGATTCCAGGTCTCACAACATGAGCTCAGACTACCTCACTGACATGCTGAAATATGTATGAAAGCGGTCGCAATTCAGCTTCAACTACTGGATCAAATCATAAAATTCTCCCTGCTGCTGCCTTCTCCTGAGATGAAGGATAAACCCCAAATCTCAGTGTCTTAAGTTTTTTTTTCTTGCTTAGAAACATCAGGACCAGCTAATAATGGCTTGATGTTGACTTGCCCGCCCCCACTGCATTTATATACTTATTATACAAGTTTGGATATTTGTCTCACTGCTCCGTGTATAACAACCTTAAAGATGAGGATTTTAAACCTAAACACCGTATGAACTGTTAAGCACGATGGTTGTTGACAGTGGTACTGGTACAGTTGACAACGCTGCCAACGCAGATGCACCTGGGGTATGAATTTGAAAAGAATTACATTGCCACGTTTGAATGATCTCAGTCACAACATTTTCAGAAAACCTGACTTTTGACCTTGAGGTCAAGGTCACCAGGAATCAAACTCATCTGAGTTTTGTTGGCTGCACCTATTGCATGATTTTGAAAAATCCTACTTCCCTTTATTCTATAAGTCCACTTTAAGCACTAAATAACATCTTCAAATTTGCCTTTTGTCTAACTAGCAGTTAAATACCTACAGATATCATTTTTACAATAATATGAATTAAGAAAAAAAGAAAGAAAAAAAGGTATTTTTTCTATTAATTCTGTTCCACCTCTGATTTTCACTTCTAACATTGTTCCTTTTTCTATGCTGCAGAAAAATAATGTACTCTCAACATATCTACACAATTAAACAACTTGCCAAAGATTATTAATTAAATTTAATTTACAAGGAAACTCATTTTGGGAAAATAATGGCACACAGTTAACCCCCAATCAATTTTTATTCCTATAATTATAGTCCAACTTTAAAGATTTCCTACTGCGTTCCAATGTTCCAGTGTTTGGATGTTGATTATAAATATGCTGTAGGTGGGCAGTATTATTACCTCTCAGCCTCAGTTTTCTGCTGTCCTTGTATGATTTCAATCTGAGCGGATATTTGTCAAAGCAGCCGGCAGCAAAGACGACGACACAAATGTTCCCCGGCAGACAAATGTCACGACAAGTGGTGTAAAACTGTCATTACAGTGATTTATTATAATGAACCATGAAAATAGCCAACCAGTGCAGTGTCTGTGAGTCTCTCCCCTCCACACAAACGTACACTCACACACACAAATGATTTAAAAAAAAAAAAAAAAAAAAAAAAAAAAAAAAAAGACCAAGTTGAATAGTTGAGGATGGGAGGGTGGAGGGGGTTAGAATAAAATAAAAATAATGCTACAGTCACAGAAACATTCAGCTTTGCCAAGAAGAGTGTTTGTATTTACAACAATATTTTTAAAAAAAACAAAAAAAAAAAAAGTATGGGAGCAAATTGTAACAGTGCAATAGAAAAAAAAAAAAAAAAAAGTAAGTATAGCGCATATTACACAAAGTTTTTCATAAAAGTAAAGCAGTACGTTACGCCTATACATTAAATTACATTTTCTACAAATAACCATTGATATTCAAAAATAAACCGCTAACATCCTACCTGTGGGCCAGACCACCCAGCCTACCTCAGAAGACACTCGTTTTTACATGAAATCTCACGCACGCTCTGCTTATCTAAGCAGCCACACACACTGAAACACACACACACACAAACGAGTTCGGCCTCCTGTGGCAGTGAGGCAGGTTTCCCCGAAACTGGTCTTTTTTTTTTTTTTTTCTTCTTCTGAATCTGCAGCGGTGAACAGATATTTGTTGTCAGACAGAGGAATAAAAAAAATATTTGTCTTTTTTTCCTTCTTCTCTATACAAAAAGAGCTTTCTCTGCGCTATAATGAACCACTAGATTAAAACAAATAAATGGTGTATAGAGATGACAACAGATGAGTGAGAGGAGGAAGTAAAATGTTTAACTGACAAAGGGGAAAGGAAGAGGAAGGATATAGGCTGGAATGTCCATTGATAAACAAAGTGCCTTACAACGGGAGTCCAAACAAGACACAGAACAAAGATCCTTCCTCTCCATCACAGGAAGGATATTATAAAAACAAACATGGAGGCCAGAGAGAAAAGGGCTATGAGCACCGGGGAGAATCGTCTATCTTTATTTTTATAGTCTGTCTTGAAGATTTATTTCACTGTCCTTTTTTGTTAAAATTTTATGTCTTTTTTGTTTTTCTTAAAAAGTACCCTTTTATCCCACAATCAGCTGTTTTTCCACTGGCCATGTGTACAGGTACATAGAAAACGTATCTACAGCGTATGGTACATGCCCCCTCACGATGAGTTCTCAGGGGCTGCCAGACACCGGCAGCAAGAAGGGGCGGGTCAGTGCCACCCTGTGCTCAGGTACCCCGAGCTGTGGAAGGGGGTCGAGGATGCAGGAGCTCCACGAGTCCCAGAAGGCATCTGGGAGGCAGCGGCCTGAGACTGGCCTTGTTGAGTCTGTTGGGGAGGAGGTGGGGGAGGTGGAGGCAGTCCGGTCTGCTGAAGGGGTGGGGGGTAGGAGGATGGGGGTACTGAAGAGTTCGCTGCAGCACCAGGGTGCATCAGTGCCGGCTGAAACCCCCCTAAGTTCTGATAGTGGTGGGGCTGCATTGGGGTGTTGGTAGAGGGAGCTGGAGGAGGCGGAGGAGGTGGTGGCGGAGGGGTAAGTGACAACAGGGTGCCTCCTGAAGGAGGCGGCTGCTGCTGTTGGGAGGTCTGACCCTGTGGGGGAGGAGGTGGAGGAGGTGCAGTTGTCATCATGAGCTGATGTTGCTGGATAGGAGGTGGCTGCAGGTTGACGTGTAGCAGGGTGGGGCCAGGCATTGGGTGTGGAGGCGGAGGAGGTGGCGGCGGAGGAGCAGCTGAACTCTGATAGTGCACGCTGTGGGGAAGAGTCTGTATCAGGGGCTGAGAGCCTGGAGGATAGGGCGGCGTGACAGAGGGTTTAAACCCAGGGAAAGGTCCGGCAGGTGAGGGGCTCTGGCTTGGAAAATAGGCTGTGGAAACAGGCGGTGCTGGCGGTGGTGGTGGCGGTGGCGGTGGAGTGTTCTGTGTATTATATTGCGGAAAAGCACTGGGCCCAGTCTGAGTCTGGGGCTGTGGTTGGTTCTGAGTTTGGGCAGAGAACAGCGCCCTCTGGCTGCGATAGGGCGAACCCTGAGCCTGAGGCTTTGGAGAGTGGAGGAGGGACGATCCAGGGTAGTGGACTGGTGAGGAGGGTAACGGGGTGGGGTGAAGCTTCGTCGGTGTTAGCGGGGCCGATTTGGGTCCTGTTGGCTTGCTTGTCGGCTGGCTGGTCAGATTTGGCGTCCGAGGTTGACCATCGCCATCTTCCTCCTTCGATGGCCGACCAGAAGGTTGGACAAGAGGGCCAGGAGAACAGGGCTGCAGAGGAGACGGACAAAAGTAAGCAGAGATGAGTCAAATTAATCAATTTAATCAATTAAACTTTAACAGAAAACATGACTAAAATTAATTACATTTAATAAAATAAAAATAAACTGGCAATAAAACTGGTGATGATAGCCTGACGTCAACTCACTGTGTGGGTCGGGGTCTTCTGGACACTCGGAGATGCACACTCCCTCATCGAAGGCGTATCTCCACCTTCTGTCTCACCATCTAAAAAAAACAACAAAAAAACCGGTTCTTCTTTTAAAAAAAAGAAAAAAAACATGAAAAATATAAACAGCTCTGATGGAGACAGATCTGGTTGTATGACCATTCATGGATGGTTTAAAATGCTTGCAACACATTGATAGTAAAAAGCATTTCAATACAAATACATTTAACCACAAGCCACTCAAAACACACTTAAACATTCAAAAAAAGAATAGCACACAGTTCTTTAGTTAAATCCACATTGTTTAATTCAGGTTATGAGAAAACAAATTACTTTATTATTCCAGGATTTCCTGCACACCAGCTGCCTTCATATTGCAAAAAAAAAAAAAATTCCAACTAATTTTACTCTTACAAAGAAACAAAGCATTCACCACCACTTCACTCACAAACAAACTAAAAAAAAAAAAAAAAAAAAAAAAAAAAAAATAGGGAAATGGGGTAACTACAGTCTTCATGTACTACAGCAGCGCACCCCTCAAACTGCTACAGGTATTTTGGGTGCTGGTTCCTTGAAAAATTTCAGTAAACATGATCAGCTACTATTACAAAAGGCTTAAGGGCACTTCTGTACATGCACGAGCAGTTTCTGCCCATGGTAGGCTGTAACATATAGGGTTTGCTTCTCCATCCTCACACCGTACGATTTCCGTTTTCTTACCTGTGTCTTTGTCTTTGCTGAGCAGCAGAGCTCGGTGGTAGCTGCGCTCTCGGGCCTGCTCTACAGAAGTCGACGATGTCCTGAAGTGAAACATCAATAAGAAGACTTTATGTACTAAGGTTTGCTACCATGAATGCAGAGCTTTTTTTTTTTTTTCCTGTTTACACATTTCCCTGTAGTTATCATTTCAACACATTAAAGCACACACCACTGTCCTTCTCCTCCCTCCTTCTCTCCGGTGGACTCTGCCTCCTCGTTTGTCTGTGGCTCTCTTAAAGCTGCGGTGGTGGTGTTGGAGAGAGCCGTGGAAGCAGGAGGTAGAGGAGGCTCGCTGGTGGTCTCTAGAGAGACAGAGAAGGCGTCCACAGCTAGAGGCGGCACAGTGGAAACGGGAGAGCTGCACTCGGTCTTGGAGCCGCTGCGACGGGCTTCGCGTTGACGCTTACGGTATTCTAGCAGGGAAACCTGGGAAGAAGCAGAACCACAAAAAACCATTAAGTCAAACCAGTAGAGGGCAGCATTTGAAGAAGAATAATTCAACCTTTGGAAGCATCAATACTTCTGGAGTCCCGCTGCCAACCTCATTTGTTTGCAATGTATTGGTACTCTCTGCAGATTATATAAGTAACTAGTTATTTTTTCAGACTGTTGACTAATTAACTGTTTGTTTAAACTGTCTGGGGGCAAAATGCATTTACAATCTCATTAAGGGCCATTTAGTGTTTTCAGATAGCTTCTTTTTCATCTCTATAGGTCAGTAATCTCACCTTTTTCTTCTGTGGGGGGTTCTGTGCAGAGCCTCCTCCGTCACCAGCGCTGTCCCCATTCAGCGAGCGTGAGAAGCCAAGAGAACTTCCCTCCTCAGAGCCGGGGTGAAAGAGCTGCCCTTGGCCTTCGCTAAACGAGGGCTGGGAGCCAACCAGTGACCCCGTTCCTGCTGAGGGTCCTGCTGCAGCCTCAGGCCTGAAGGGGGCTGCCAGAGGCTCCAGAGTGTGGGAGGGGGTGAGGTCCCTTAAGTTTGAATTGACTGGAGAGAAGTTCAGGCCAGCTGGTCCAGTCGGGCCCCTCTCTGGGCTTTTTATCCAGCCAGAATAAGAGGAAGCACATGCTTCTGTAGACAAGGGAGCCTCACTGGTGCTTTCTACACCCCCACTATCAGGCCTGTCCTCTCCACAGTCCACCGACTCAGCAGGTGGAGGCTGTGGACTCTCTGGAACTGACACCTTAGCTTCTGACGGGAGTCCATCTGAACTAGGAACCTTGATGCAGGGAGAGGACGCCAACGAAGGAGGACGATCGGCCTGGGTGAGAAGCAAGGGATGAAAACACAACATGAACACTGATGAGGCATAACACTAAGAACATGTCTGCTTAACAGACTTAAATTGACATTATGTTTTGGATTACTGGTTTATGTTTGGATGTAGCTGGACATTTTTATTATAGAAAAACTATTACAGCAATACTACCACATTTTCAGATAGTATAATACTGGAACTGAGGGAGACTGATGGTTAAAGTCATTTCCAAATTAAATATATTAGAGGTATGATCTTACCTCCTGCACACAGGGTTTTCGGTTGACCTCTGGTGAGTTCTCCCCTGAAGATTCATTCTGTGTAACCACAAACACACTTAGCCACTTTTTCTTCCTCATGTAAACAAACATGTAACGTTTACAGGCTTATGCATAAACACAGCTTTACCTCCTGAGGGGCATTAAGTGTTGGCGTTGGGGTGCTGGGCAAGGGCTCCATGCTTGGCTCCTCTGTTCGGGGACGTGGAGGGGTGGCCATTAAGGCTGGTGTCAGCGGCGTCTCCAACTGTTCTGTCCGGGTGGGCGTGGCACAAGGGGAACCGTAGGGCGTTGAGCTCTCAGACATACAAGCGTCCAAAGGACTCAACCTTCGCTTTTTCAAAGGAGTGGGCAACTCTGCAAGATGTCAAAATGAGCGTGGCATCTATGATTTAAAGTTGGCTTGATTATTTACTGTTATTAAGACTGGTTTCCTTTACCATCATTGAATAAATGGACAGTTTTCTTTGTTAGGTTTGTAGTTTAAGTGGCATTAGATTGATATGTTCGAACCCAGACTTACCTGGTAGCGAGCAGGTGCCATTATAGGGTAGGGGGCTGTCTGAGTCTCCATTAATGGAGGGGCTGAGGGGGCCTTCACCGGGCATGAGAAGACTTGGCCGTCTGCCTGGGCTGGTGGAGCCTTCCTCCTCTAGAGCTTGCTTCAACCATCGCTGTAAAAACAGAGCCATTATAACAAAGAGAAAGAGTGCACAGGAGACATTCACAACAGTTTCAAACATCTAGTGGCAGGTATATCTACTTAATATTGTAATAAAAATATAGAAACTAACCTAAATGGTCATGGTATTAATCAAGTTACCTAGATGGTGTGTAAAAGGAGAGAAGTTTCTAATTTCAAGCTTAAAAAAAAACAACAAAAAAACAAACAAACCCAAAAACCTCTCCTTATTCATTTAGATAGGGGCAAAATAAGTGCCTATAGGTTTTAACAAGATAGCTGCTGAATGATAAATTCTGCTTCTAGACGCACTTTAGTAAAGGAGAATATAAATTCAGCAACTTATTAAAGGAAGCTTCTAAATAAAGCAGCTAAACAGTGACAGTCCTGTCCCTCGATAATATTCTGGGCGACTTCAAATGAGTTCATCCCACTGGAAACTTTTTGATGCATTCATGGAGACGGAGTTAACAAAGAATGGAAGAAATTCAAAGGCTGTGGCATTTTGGGAAAACTTAGTTATTTCCTATGTAAACAAAGATCTACTTTCCAAATCTAGCTGTTTAAGTTTTTCCCATGAGCATCAAAGAAAGGCAGGATTGCTTTTAAAAGCAGAAGTCTGTACCTTCTTGCAGGAACCAGTGGTTGGTGGCATTTCGGGTAGTTCTCGGGAACGCCGTCTCCCGGTGGGGACCCCGGGAGATGTGGGGCTGCGGTTTGCCAAGAACGGGGACAAAAAGCGGACATAGTGTTTGGGCGTGCTGTAGACCTGCTGGGAGCAGGCCAGGCCTGGCAGGGCGTTGAGCTGCGTGGCCAGCACTTCAGGGTCACTGCTTATTCTCAGTGGCCTTTCTGGGACTGGTTCTGGTGTTCGTACAGCACCACGGTCCTGCTGTTTCTCGCCTACCCACTCATTCACAAAGTGCTGTGGAAAAGAGTTTGAGAAGATGTAAAAATTCTAAAGGGTTCCTGAACATTTTTTAAAAAGCCAGAAATATGTTTCATATGCAGAATTAGACATGTGCCTGTACCTTTTTTGTTCTGAAAGTCTTGCTCCCTGTTCGGTTTCTGTCAGGTGCAGGTGAGCTGCTGTGCGGAGGACTGGTGTCGGGTGCTTGTGTGGAGATGGCCTCCGGCTCTGGCACAGTGGGTGTTTCTCCTTCAGGGGCTTCATTGGTCACAGGCTCCACAGACTCAGTTGGAGAGCTGGGAGGCAGGTCAGAACAAGTGCTGATAGTGCGAGCTCGTCGCCGCTGTTGCCCAATGTGAGTACGGTTTCTTGAGAAACTTTTCCTGTTCCTCGTGCCTTTAACTTTGGCTGGCTTTAGACCTGGCTCCTCTTTTACTTCCAGAAGTGGCTATAAGAAACACATTTGAGAGTTCAATAACATCACATTTGAATACATAAATCTCTTAAAAATCTGACAATAGCTTGCTCCAAACAAAAACACACATTTTTTATAGTACAGCTCAGAAGAAGCATTTGTGCCAACATCAATTAAAATATAAATAAAAGTAAAGTTTTGGGGTTTTTTTTGTTTTTTTTTAATCTGTGCTCTGACCTGGATGACAGCTGGCGAATCTGCCGTCTCTGGTGTGGCTGGAGGCTCCTCCTTAATGTCACTGCGGCCCCCAACCTCGGACTTTATGCTGCCGATTCTCTCCAGCGCCTGCTCCCGTCGTTTCTCTCTCTTCTCCATTCGGGCAAAGGCTTGCAGGATGGCCTCCATCTTCCTCTCCTCTCGTGTCTGCAGAGGGTTAGATGTGGGGCATGGAGGAGGGGCGAGGGAGAGGAAGAGAGTGCGCATAGATTAGTTCATGGAGTACTACTCCCCAGAGGTAGCGGTGCAACTGGTTAATGTGTGCTACGCAGCGAAAAGCATTTCTATCTGAGTGCAGAGTGCCATATGCAGAGCCAAGTAGAAAAAAAAAATGTCCCTTCATTTTCACAATAAGAGCAACAAAAAGAGGAGATTGGAGTGAGAGAAAAATGTAGGAGAACAAGGTGTTTTAATTTAGCTTGTACGCAAATAAATTTCCCCAGGTCCTTATAAAGAAACCATAGCTACCTCCACCTAAAACAAAGCACTCCATCATTACTCAAAGCACACTTTTGGAAAGGAAAAAAAAAATAAAATTTTTTTGCCTGCATAGGCTAAAGTTTGCTGTAAAGACAGGACTGTTAGTACGCTTTTAACTCAGTCAATCACCACTACGAGGTTGGTAGATGGGTGGGGTTGGCCATGTATGGGTCAAGTTTACCTCCTTGATTTTCAGTCCCCTCCAGCACGAAGCCGCCCCGACAGGTAGATGGGACTGCTCCGCTGGGTTGGCCTGAATGTTTAATAAAGAAACAGCCCAGTTTAGAAGAGACATGTCCCACCTAAACAAGGCTTCACTAAAAATGGACATGACTGGACTAAAGGATCTCTAATCATCTGGTGAAATTTTTCCAGCGCTAAGGTTACCTGGTAATATGCAATAACACTATGCAGGATATTTACAACTATAGAGCATCTTCAGGAATGCACTAACAATGCCAGGATGTAATGGCCCTTTTCACAGCAGTGAGAAAAACATTGGTGCCACTCCAAACCCATAGTCTAAGACCCCAAGGTCATGCAATTCCACTTGTGGCTTCTTTGGAGCTTTGGCTTCCAAAGACAAGGCGTCGACAAGTATTCAAAAAAATTTAGGAACAATCTCTTATAGCAGGACTCCTGCTGTAAACCAAAATCTTCACAGAATTTCCTAAGAACTAAGTTTTACAAAAAAAACAACAACAAAAAAAAACACTACAATAAAAAGGCACAGGTCTTTTAATTCCTTCTACCAAAAGCTGGGCATTCACTACAATCACTGACCACCAGCTTATTACACCCATCTCACAAAGAGAGTCACAGCACATCATTTGACATATTCTTAAAATCTTGATCTTTAAAGTGAGATTTAAGGTCCTGCTTGTCTGGTTGTGAATTACTGGACTTCAATCACATGCGTTTGCTTTTTGTAGGGCTGCATGCAAACAGTGGCACCAATGGCAATGATGCTGTATGTAGGCAGAATATTGATCGGTTGAAGTTTGGCTCGAGTAGTAAAGGAAACAATAGCGGAGTTCCCCACAATGAGGTAGAACAAACCGCAGTGGTAGTAAAGGGTTATTTTTAAATGTCCAGTTTCTTTGTATATTCCGACTTCTATCACAGAGGCTAAGCTAAAGGAGCCCTAACAAAAATATAAAGAAAGGGGGAGCCCATGTTAGCAATGATTTGGCATTTTGACTCTTCCCACAGGCAACAGAACACCAAGGGTGAAGTGTTAGTATACATAAAATATCTAAAGAGCTGGGGTAGTAGGAAGACAACATAAACCCAGGATGCCCTTTCCACCAATAGAACTTTCAGTAAGAGCTTAAGCAGGCAAGATATTTCTCTCCCATGCAGCATCTCCACCACACAGATTTAAAAATGACCACGCACACCTACTACGCTTGTGACCGTCAGTGTGCAAATGTATGCTTCTTTGCTCGAGCAGGGTGCCCTCTTCTGCCATGTTGCATAGAAGGCAGCTTATTGGATCTCCCGTAGTCAATAAGGCCCCAGCAACAGGGCTCTACCCTCTGCAGTCACTCCCTCCATCTATCCATCCATCCATCTCTCTGGCCAATTATAAGAACTGTACCTTAGCCAAAGATGAGTCAGCGATTTACACCTTGGGTCTACCATGTGAAACGGAGCTGACTGCAGGGTAATTTCCTGTGTGTGTGTGTTTGATCCCATCTCTCGGGGACATACGACCATTTGGCAGAGAGAGTGGTTGAACCCGTAACAGGCCATTTCAATCTCATGGCTACAATGAAGGTGAGAAGAGAGCTCTACTCAAACTGTAATACACACTGGGGGATAGTTTCAGTGTGCATAAAGACACAATACACTGGCAAGGTTGTCAACAGGCATGCGGCACTGCAGGCCTGTTCATGTTCTCACATGGTGAAGGGGCAAAAGAAAAAACAGGCAACAAATGAGAAAATAAGCGTAATGACAGACAAGCACAAAGCCTCAGCGCTGTGAGAAAAGGGGAAGCTGAAGGAGGGAAAGCACAGTGGGTTTGAACAAAACAGCAACAGAGGCACCGATAATAGTGGGAGCACTAGCAGTAGATGAATGGTGAAGGAGGAGGCTGGTTTTATGGAGGAGAGGTAGAAGACAGCTGCTCCTATCCAAGCCCTTAGCAGACAAATAGTTAAGTCCACACCCAGAGCAACAGGGGACAGTTTTTATTTTTGCTCTTTCTGCTGGGTGGTAGCACGGCAGCGGGGGAGGGGGGTAAGCTGTAGCCCCTAGCTTGGCACACTTACCATCTTCCTCCTCCTCTCTGCAATCTGCTCCTCTGACTCCATCTCTACTTCATTGCTAACGGAGGTTTTGTCTTCTAGATCCTCAAATAACTCAGGATCCTGTAAGAGGAGGGGAGAGCGGGGTATGGCGCTTTATCATGGCTGATCATTCAGTCTGGCTACAGACTAGAAGGAGACAGGTAAGAGTGGAGGAGAGGTGAGGTGAGGGAGAGGCTGAGGAAGAACTTTTTAAAGATACGCTTAGATAGGTGGTTGGTCTGTGCACATTACACAACTGCTAAGTGGCCTTCTTGAAAGTTATGACTTTATTAGCACCCCCTTATTAAATTATTGGTGTAGCAGCTTGAATATTGTCATGTCCATTGGGTATCATCATAGCACCATGATATTAAAACCTCCTATGTCTTACTGGGACAGGTCTACTCATGTTTCTGCATTTCTGAAAGCCTGAGGCAGTTCTTTCTAATTCAAATGGGACCGGTTTCTAAACCAAATATTCAAGTCACAAATAAGATTTCCCTGAATCATGAACTCTAAAATAATTTCCACAACTGATAACAAATGAGACTTTTGTTACCGTCGGCGCCTCTGCTTGTGTTACTACTGCACATCTCTGCCAGACCAGTGGAACAAAAGTGCAGTAAGATATGGTCTGTATAAGGAAAAAAAATTAGCTGGGAGGGGACAAAAGTGGATGCATAACAGGGATGATGGGAGAGGAAAAAAACAAAAAAAGGGAGGGAACTAAACAGGATGTACAATAACAAAGAGTGACTAAAAATGGAAAACACATGCACAGACCAAAATAAACCACATGCATGGACTATAAGGGTGAGTGCATTTTAACAGAAAATAAATCTAAATTAAGAAGTTTTAAAAAGGGTGACTGACACCAGGCATGTTTTGCGCACCGTACATTAAAAAGTAATCTTGCCTGGTTGTTTGAGATGGAGAGTCGGAGAGGAGAGAGTTTTCTCTGCTTGCTGTCGCCTATGTTCTTGCCCTTCCCCTCGCCGTCCAAACCCACGTTCTGGTTCTGGGCCTGGTCGTCCCGTGCCAACTCCTTGTCCTTCCGATTCCCTCTGCGTCTGCCTCCAGAACCCAGGTTCTCTGTGGGCTCTAGGTTGTGCTTGAGCACCGGGCACTCCTGGTTCCCCTTCACACAGGCACAGTCCACCTTGTATTTACTACAAAAACAAACAAATAACCCAAAGCAAACAAACAAAAACAGGAGAAATTTAGTGAAACAATCTTGTCTTGCTAGCAAGCAATTGCCAGTTTTACTCCTTAACACTTACCAGCTGCCATAGTCAAAATCAAAACCGATTGTGATCTCTGTGCCCTTGGATATCGGCCGCAATGAGTAGATGTATAAATGTAACATGCCGTCCTCAATGACATGACGCACCTGAGGGACGTTCAGAAGAGTATTGGTAAAAAATAGCGCTTGCAACTATGGATAAGAGTTTTGGTTAATTAAGTGAAAAGAAGCAAATTATTAAGCACTTTTGAATGTTACATACTTCAGAATTGGGAGTACAAGAGCGGCGAATGAAACGTGCTTCGTTTCCAAAGCTGCGAGCGTCTACACACATCTCCAGTCCATCAAATTTTGAATAAAATAACACAAAAGGGTATGGCCTGAGGAGAAAAGCAAGGTCAAAGGATGAGTGGGATCAATGCACACAAAACACCTCAATTTAACATCTTAAATCATCTGCCATTACATTAAGAGTTAATTTATTTGACCTGCACTAAAAACGAAGTTGCACTCAATTTAGATTGAGACAAATCCAAGAGGGAAAACCCTTTTGACTCGTGACAAGCTTCCTAACCTCTTGAAGAAGTATCCGTTGGCCTCAAACTGCTGTCGAAGCATGAACTTGCCCCTGTACTCAATGATGAGGGAGTCTGGGGCCAAGTCTCGCACCGCCTTGAGGATCTTCTTGTTCTTCTGAACTTGACTCTGGGAGACACAAACCGCCTGACATAAACAAACATCTTGAATTACATGTGAACCCCAAGAGGGAAAGCTAGTGCTGCAGACTGCTAGAGACAAGCAATGTTTTTGGGTGTTATCATATTTGTGTTACCAGTGGAGATTCACTCAGTGTGTATATTTGTACCTCTACAGGGGGTTTGAAAGAGGCTGGGTGCGTGTTGTATGCCAGACTCTTGCCGTCGCCTTGTTCTTTAACACGCAACAGGACCTGAACATCCTCAGTGTACTGATTACTGCTGGCCTCCTCGTAACGCTCCATCCACGTTTTGATCTTGTTCTCCCACAGAGACGGGTGCTCTGTTGGCTCCTGTTCGGGAGCTGCACCCTGAGAAAAACAGTACAAATGTGACTCACAGCTCAGATTTAACAGGAGCATTCTGGATTCTAGAAATGGTGGACGTGAGAGTGTTCTGTAAGTTTACCTTTACTCTAGAGGATTTTCTGGACCCCTCTCGAAAGGCCTTTAAGGTAATTAAATAAATTAAAAGTGTGAGGTTAATCGGCATTCCAAACAGGTGTTTGTAAAATATTAATTTTGTAAGTGAATGAGTAAACGTTGACCTTTTTAGCTCGAGCAGAGGACGCTGGAGGCTCTTTTTCACCACTCTTTTTGCGCTTTTTATCAGATTGCTTATTGCCAAGGCGTCCAGTGGTGAGGGTGATGGTGGTAGGCGTGTGCTGGAAGGTGGAGTAGAGCTCTAGCGGAACCTCATCTCCACTCTCTGTAGCACTGGTGTCCCCGTCTGAATGAGCAAGCGAGTTATTAGGAGTCAGGCAGGGAACAAAGAAAGTGACACACACAAAGATATAAAAAGCTACACCTGCTTCGGGCAAAACAAAAGCTAATCGTGTCATACTAATGGAAGACAAGGCTTGCTACATCACAAACTAAATTGCAGTTTTCTGCTTGACCTGCAGGTGTCAGTACATCCTGCTCTCAGGCAGAATTATATCTGGCTGTCCTGCAGGGGGAGGAGGCTGCACCCTGACACAGCTTACAACCTGCTTTACTCTGTAATGAGCTGGCCATTTACTGCAGCAAGGAAGCCAGTAAAAGCAGAACTGAAACATCTATCTGTGGGTTCTTGCTTCTAACGCCTCATAGTTCAGCTCTCAAAATAATCTAGTTTCTCTAGGTTTTCTTTTTGTGAATTACTGCAACTGCATTGAGATTTTTGTCAACAGAAATTAAAAAAAAAAAAAAGTACAAGGGTAATGGGAAATGTTGGGAGCTTTATAAATGTGTTCCCTTACCAGATAAAGACTCTCTTTTACGGGTCTGCAGCAGGACGGCCCTCTCTCTATCGAGGTGTCGAGGTTGGCAGCGTTCACACAGGTAGGTCTCAGGAATGTTCTGTCTGTCAATGCCCATGCAGTCTATGTGCTGCCAGGCACTAAAGGGAAACGTTAAGGAGTTTTAATAAACCTTCAAGTCACATTTTCGTTCCCATTAACCACATGAAGTTACAGAAAACTGATCTAGTGAACACAAGGAACAAAAAACAGGCAGCTAGATGAAAGAGGCCTGAGTCAATACTAGTCAAAGCTTGTGACTACTTGTGTCTCACCTGCACTTGTCACAACAGATCATGTAGCCATCGTCATGGGTGAAGCCACAGATGCAACGGGTGATGTCAGCCCCGTAGCTGCCATCCTCTGAGGTGCTGAGTGTGGTGCCCCTGGACGCTTCGTCCTGGCCCCCTGGAACAAACAGCCCCCCCTCTCCTTGTCGGATCAACATGGAGGGGGGTGGGGAGGCTGGCGGTGTAGGTGGGGGCCGCGCCCCATAGTTGTGGTCCTGAGAGAACAATTGAAAATGTACCTTTCATGTGATATAGGTAAACGTTGCTTATCAAAATAGTTTAGTTTACAAAACAACGTTGCCACAATGGGCATGCACTATCACTGGCAACAGAAAATTACCTCTACAACCAACACACTACTTAGCAAATTAAATGTTTAGTCTTTTTTAGGCCAAGATGTGTTAGCAACAGGTTTAGTAAGGTCCAAAGCAAAGGTTTTAAGGCCCTGACTTAGTTGTTTCACAGTTTCCATTTTATAGCATCTATAGATCATTTAATGACCAAACAATGAACAAAGTTCTATGTACTATTTTAAATATCCTAAAAAGATTAAGAATGTCAATTAACCAACAGCAAATCAGTTTCACTCAGTGACTGAAAAAGACTGAGGTTTATGTGTTATAATTGCATTTTCCCCCTAATATCCAAACAGCCTGCCATGTCCTCCTTCCTCTGATGCCTTATGACAAGGAAGCAGTTAATATTGGTCTGTTTTCTGGGTTTCTTAAATCCTCGGGACAAGCATGTTGTGCTGCCTTTAAACCCAAACACTGCTGCATCAGTGATCTAACATGACCACCTTTCTTTAGTCTGTTTTTATCTTGGCAGCTGCTGCCATTATTTGTGTTCGTTTGACTGACAATGATTTTTTTTTTTTTTTTTTTTAAAGAAGCGTTTACACTCATTAATGCTTGTGTTGTATAAGAAACAGCATGAAAGCATGTACTGAAAGCAATATTTTCCTTGTTCACTGTAATTCTCCAGCTCAAGGTTTGCAGGTTATCTGTATAAGTTTGAGGAAGGTGAGGAAAGAGGTGTGTGTGTGTGTGCTTACAGCATAAGGCAGGCCTATGTAACTGTGGGAATGGTGCGAACTGCTACTGTAAATCTGGTGTGGGTAGCTCGACTTTTCCACCACCACAGGGCTGGCCTCCACCGACTCTGGTCTTTAAGACAGAAACACAAACAAAAATTTGGTTAAGAGCTGAAAAGCAAAGTAATTCAAGGACAGTTTCCTTACAACAGTCTTAAGGATGTGTCTGCATCTGGGTAGCTACTGGTGGTGACACAGAGGTTACAGCTGCCAGAGGAAGGCCACTAAAAAAAAAAAATTTAAAAAAAAATGTACCACCACAGTGTGTGCTATAATGTCACCTTATCCGGGCTCGTCAGGCCTGAGAGCCCCACATAACTGACGTTTTAATCCCTGAACCCACATCTGTAAGTCAGACAATCATCAGAAAACACATGCTATCCGTCACTCACACAAAACACACACACTTGCACAAGTTCGTTCCTACCAAACCAGTCGATCCACTTTTCTGCCACGTTCAGTGGTGAAGAGAGAGCCTGTTTGACCGTTTAGGACCAACCCACCCTTATTATGACATGATTAATCTGTTCTTCAGTTGCTCTGTGGAAGAGGGAAGTGGAACTGGCAAAACGGATGACATGAGACAAGACGGTCCAGTATGAAAGAGGGGAAAAGAAAAGAAAAAAAGAGAGGGAAGAAGAAGAGGAAGAGAGAAATACCAGTGCAACATACTGGATAAACAAGATGCATTTGAGATACGGACTGTTTAAGCTATGGTGCCGCAGCTATTTGTTTCAGCTCGATATCCACATGAGTGAATGGCTCAGTCATGTGAAAACACATTTGATTCAACTCTTCCCAGAGCAAGATGTAGAAAACTGCTCAAAGGTCATAAAGACAAAGTTTTTTACTCTGCTCTCTCCAAGCTACAAAAATATCTAGGCAAAATACAATAAAGACGCTCAACAAGCATAAAGAACTGCCTCATATGGAGCTATTTTAGCAGCAAAGACAATGAGCACCCTGACCAGGCCATGTGAGACTGACTCTATAACCACGTTATTTTGAAGCTCGCACGCAGGTTAAAAAGCACACTAGAAAGAGCCAAGGCAATTAGGAGATACAGTGAATAATTATATAGCTTGAACAAGTACTTAAAAACACCCCTTAAAGTTCCCTTTAAACAGCGAGTCCCCAAGGCAAGCTGGTGATACGGTACCTGTGGGAGCCTTTCTCAGCCCTATTGCTCCTTTTGCATGCCGAAAGAGCACTGTGCAGCACTTCCTGTGTGTACTGCCACTCAACTATTCACTGTCAAAGTGAAAACGTAAAGTGCATGCTTCAAGTACGGAGGCGGGCCCAGTGTAAGAGGGGTGTGTATGCGTACACAACAGATTAACTGCCACAGATTAGGTTTGCAGAAAGACAGAACATATATACCTGGGTGCAGTTGGTTCACAAACTTTCTTCCATCAATGATTAACCAGATCAAAGTCTACACTTTATAATAAAGAGATGTGGGTGTGTATCACTCAGAGGAGGAAAGAAGGATTTTTTTTTTTTTAACAGGTTGAAGAGAGACACAGGTGTTACAAATTAGTCTGGGAGGGGAAAAAAATATCAAGATAATGACAAACAAGGCAAACAAGTGAGCGAGCCTGTTCTGTGGGAAGGAAGGAAGCATGTTTGTGTGTGTGTTTGTTTCTGTATGCGCATAATTGGTGGGTTTGTATTATTCATACATTTACTCTTGAACAAAACTGAAAGTAAGTAGGGAATACCTTTTGGACTTTTCAGTTTTTATTTCTTAAAAATGGGTTATGTCATGAAAATTAGAACTGTTAATTTCATCCAGGACAGAGGGTTTGAAAACCTTCTTCCTGACCAAAACCATCCCCCACGGCATGTCGTACAGGTTGAAGAGAGACAGGTAATAGATAAATTACCTGTCAAAATAAGTAATAGATAAGGTAACAGAAAAAGTGTGTTCAATTGAGTACCAGAAAAGTACCTGGTTTTTCAATTTTCCATTATATGTTCTTCTCTGTAACTGATTTGCCATTTATCTTAAGTCACCTCAGGTTTTTCCATTCAGGTGTTTAACTGGATAAGTTATTAGATATATGAATCTAATTCTGTAAACTAAAAGAAACGAAAAGCTTTTTTTTTTTTTTTTTTTTAAAAACCAATAAGCTTTTATGTAGCCTGCAAACAAAAACAAGTTTGACGCCGCTGAATTACAGGCACTGTGTGCATATATGTAGTGGGAGGACTGCAGATATACAGTCCAATAATCCGTGACTGCCTGCCTGCGCACAAGAACAGATGAAAGAGGGTGGAATGAGGAGAGAATTTTTGTAACAAAGTTTAACTTAAAGGTGGCAGTTAGCCATTTTCTAGTTTTGCCTAAAAGAACGCCACAAGTGTAAAATAAATAAAAGCATGGAGAGACAATATCATTTAGAAGATGAACATCTGGTGCGAGACTGTGAAGAGGCAGAGTGGACAAGCAGAGTGAACATGAGAGAGCTCAACAGCAGGGAGAGGAAAGAGAGCAGCCCCCGAAACGCCACCGGCAACGCCTTCACTCCTAAAGAGCTCCTGCTTGCTACCATGGCAACACTACGTATTCTGTCAGCAGCGTGTATGCGTGCGCTGGGCTCTGTGTGTGTCAGCGTGGACACACACACACACACACACACACACACAAATGCATGCACACACTGCATTGGCCAACAGCTGGTGACACTGCTGCAGATTTGAGGGAGGACGTGGAAAAGACGTGACGCCGTTTCTCGGGCGAGTAGCAGAGGCTGAATATAAAATAAGGAACGTAGCCAAAGTCCTTCCAGAAGTCTTGCCGCTTGGCAGCCATCTTGAAACGCATCTGGGCACTTATTTGGGTGGTCATTTCAAGGCATGATTTAGAGCAATTCTGATTTTGGTTACACCAATTATCTCACAGATTAAATTTAAGAATTTGTGCGGTAAAGATTTAAGAATCCTTGGCAAAAATAATGCTACTGCTCACTTGATTTGATATAAATTATGACCTGAGGTAGGTTAAAATAAATCAAAAGGGTTTAAATTCTTTAATAGCCATTAGGGGGTGATTCCTGTGGGTGCATAAAGACTTCTAGTTGCAGTAAGCACTCTGTGCCCTCAGTAAACACTTTCCTAACCAGTTTATGGGCTCAGTTGCAAGTTTCAGGTCATACTGAAGTGAATAGGAAAGGATGATTATCCAGACGACACTTTTTGGCTAATTAACTGTCGGTCACAAGTCATTAGGCCAATAAGAGTATGGTTTCGTAGTTGGAGCCACCCCTCTCATCACGTCTGGCAAAAATACTCAGCTCGAGGTTTCAGAATCTAGTGGTTGACAGCACAGTGCCTGCATCCATCTTTTATGTCAAACATGTTCCTGACATCTCTACAGAGCAGTGTGAGCCCAACTATGCTGTGCCTCTGGTCCAGACAGGACCTGCACAGCAGCAGGTGGAAGCCCCTTTCAAGCTTGTTATCAGCCTTTGAATAAATCTGCAGCAGGCAGTCGGACACAGAGCACTGACGGACAAAGAACAAGGGAGAGAGTGAAGGCGAGGGGCTTACTCGTAGCCCCGGTGACAGCAGCACTCAGGGGGTGGGGGGTAGCTGGCTGGTGTTGGGGGAGAGACACCATATCTATGCAAGGACCACCTGTCACTCAGGGCAGTGTCCATGGCAACAGGCCCTGCGCAGTGCAGAGAGGAAAGAGGAAGGGAGGGGAGTGAGGGGTAAAAACCATGGCAACACATGCTGTCTGGGTAACAGCTCTGATGAAGGCGGCAGTGGTAGCAGCAGGGAGGGGAGGGCTCTCCCTTGTTTTTAAAGAGACAGGATCCCCTGCATAAGCAGATGACGTGTGTTATTCTTTAGTCGTACGCAAACCTCTTGCTTCATTTATTTGACCACAAAACGCCGCGGCAGTGTCCTTGACAAGACTATAAGGAAACCGAGAGGAGGGGCGATAGGAGGCTTGTTGCCATGGCTCCATGCACCATTTCTGCTTCACTGACTGAATGCAGTGCACACATGTGCAAACGTCAAGCTTACAGCATTAGACAAGGATCAGGGAAAAGGAGGAGGGGGGAAAAAAAAAAAAATCATACGTGGTGCCTCTGTATACTTCACACAGTCAGCTTTATAAACAGACTGCACACATACAGTGCAGATTCACATGGTAGATGTAGTTAACTGCTCAACAATGTGAACATCTACAGGAATCAATGACAACACTGAACAGTCCATTAGAGCGCACACTAGAGGGGCCCTGCTTCCTGAAATTCCTGTCCCATTAACAGTAGCTTTGTAAATATACGAGAAGAGATCTGTCTGGAAAAAGTGTTTTTTTTTTTTTTTGTTTTTTTTTTAACAGCGGCTTCAGTTATTACGGAGGGCATGTTGGGGCCCCTGAAAAGGAGAAGGCGACAGACGTGCTCAAATAAAACTATATACGACACAGAGGAGGGGTGTAAGATGAAAGAAAGGAGAGCAAAACTGAGAATGACATTTTGGTGATACAACACAACGAAAGATGGTACACAACAGTGAATAAGAGGAAGTGAGGGGGCATAAAAATGTGCACAGTAGAGGCCTGGTGTTACTCACTCTGAGCCAGCAGCCATGTCCAGGTATGAGGTGTCTGCAGTGTCCACCCCTACTGGGATGACTATGCTCATGACGTTCTCTGCTGATCAGTTCTTGTCCTACTGAGTCCAGAGAAAGGGAGTCCAAAACACTGAGGCATGCCAGCCACAGCACTCATTGCAGACATCTAAGTGCATCCACAAGGCCTGAATATAGAAGGGGGACAAAAAAAAAAAAAAAAGGAAAAAAAAAAAGAAAGAAAAAAGAGACAATTTATTAGTAAAGTGAAAGTGAGTTTAAACACAGGAAAACTGCATGATCTACCAAACCTGAAATCACAATTCATAGTGAAAATGGGGTATTTCCAACACATGTAAATGTATGATTCACACTTTCAGATGAGCAACGTTTTTCACAGGGAAGTGTTTGCCAGGAATTTCCCCCCTGACAGGGTTACCGAGCTCAGGTTAGTGGCTGATGAAAAGCGAGAGGGGAATGTTTCTGTAAGGTGAAGCCTGAGCCGCCACCAACTGCTGCTGCTGAGTGAACTGCGCTAAAGCGACCTCTGCACACTCTCCGCCATGCATGCAGGAAAGGGCTGCACTGCAAGAAAGCTCCCACAAAGGGGAGCAAGAGAACACATAGCAGTCAACCGCCATGAAAGGAGGGAGAAAAATGCAACATAAAGGCCATTCCCCCCACCCCCTTTTGACTGAATAGAAGTGCTCCGTTTTAAATAAATCTAAAAACTGTAGTGTACTGTATTTGCATGTCCACACACCTACACAGTAGAAAAGTTTAGGTTATAATCTTTTAACGGACATTGAAAAAGCTCCCCAGGTTGAGAATCAATAATTTAACTGTTAGGTGTCAGGCAGGTGTATGTAGTGCAGGAGACTGGCTGGACTAAGGATTTTTCTGGAAATAGCGTACATGGGAATATTAAAATGCATTTGTATGGAACTTGAATCCAGACGGGAGCATATGTGTCAGTGTGGCTGCCCCTGATACAGAGCTCTGTTGATAAGCGGGATTAGTGGGAGGGACAGATGCTGAGACAAAATAGGCTGGAGGTCACACCTTCAGCCTGCTTATGCACTCTGGGGCCCAAACAAAGGCTCGGATCATGGCTAAGGTTTTCGTTTGGGGGAAGGTTTACAGAACATGTCATGTATTCACACATTTAGCAAGCAAAAACACACTCTCTCAAGAAAACCTGTCTCTGCATGCCTGTGTGGGTTTGTGAGGTTTTGTGAGGTAAGATCATTAAATCCTTCTGGAGCACTGCAGGTCTGCACATATACAGGACGACTTTCCAGGAAAGCTTTTATTTCCCAAAAGCCCCCGCCCCTCTCCCCCCTCAAACAACACAGCATATATCAAGGAAACCCTCAAATTTTTCACACTGAGGCACATGTACACCAGGAGCTTTTTAAAGTAGACTCCACAGCCGTGATGATGGTAGTAATTTCAGGTACCAATTCACCCAAAGGCACTGTTTAAGCCAGGAGGACTGGTGAGAGCCTCACAGACATGACAGCTGTCAGCTCCAGGCCTAATTAATAGAAGGAAGAAGACCCCTGTGAGTGTGCGTGTCGGCCAAGTCTGGGATCACCTTCTAAATCCTCTCCCGATTCTTTGTGCACCGACTGGGTTAAACAGGACAACTGTATCACAGGCAGGGGCATTTCATGATAGACGCTGATGTAACCAAAACACTTTCTTTCAACAAGAATAGGGCAGTTTGCCAAAAAACACAGAAATGACAGATCCCCCCCCCGTATTATCAGAGAGGCCCAGTATGTTTTAGCATGGGTAAAATAGCTTCCCTCTAAAGCAAGTCATTTGTTCTCTCTTCCACCATGTTTGCCTCCACTTGGTGCAATGAATCTTGCTGTCACTACTAAGGAATGCAGACATTTAGCCCCCTTCCACTCATATAAACAGATAATCTCTCACTTTGTCCTTTCAAAAATACCTCTACAAGGAGGCTTTAAGAGTAGCATGCACACATGTGTGCACTGTGCTGCAGCCAGACACACTAAACACTGACAAAGAACAGCGGGACAAAAAAAAAAAAACCAAACAAACAAGTACAGTACAGCAGTACAGCAACATTCCTCAGTAAATCGGCGTTTCACTGTGACTGCCTCTGCCTGCTCCTCCTACTTCCTTTAGAAGGGCCGTCCATCACCCTGGAGAAATGCAGCCAAAGAGAGAGAAAAGACACCCCCCCCCTTTCCTGAGCCCAGTCACCCCGCCCAAGCGGATTTCTCTCCCTCCTCTGTGCACTTCCTAAATAAACCTGAGACAGTAACGCAGAGCTGAGGGAAAGGGGAGTGTCGCAGACACAGCTCCCAATTACACGAGTGCCAGGAGAGACCATTTAAAGCCACCTTTGGCTAAATACTCTGCTGTTATGGAAACACATGGAGAGTGGGGAGGGAAAAGCGAGGAACGTGCACAGGGGAGGGCGAGCAGACAAACGTGAAAAAGAAATATGGCAAAAAGTGGGTAATAGTAGAAGAAACCGCAGCGTGGAAGTGGTTTACATTTTCTTGGTGTCTCAGTTCTCCAAATGTGCTCACTGAATAGATTTGCTCATCCCGCTGAGAGCTTTAAAAAAAAACAAAAAAAACAAGAACGAACAAACGAACGAAAAAAAGAAAAGAAAATTACCAAAGGCTTAGAGGGCGTGGGGTGGGGGAGGTGTACTTGGGGTATGTCTGACAGTGATGCTGCACAGCCTCGACCTGGGTGGACTCTGGGTGGCGGAGTGGAGCACAGAGCGTAAACCCAGTCTCTCCTTTCTCCTCCTTCCCTCCCTCAGCGAGGGGACACAGTCACGTCATTGTGTGTGTGTGTGTGTGTGTGGGGGGGGGGGGGGGGGATTGCTACCCTTTTAAGACAGAGCTGCACTGAAGTCAGCAAGGGAAAACCCATACCATCACCATCGTATTCAAATGATACTACCACAGAGAGCAGCTTTTCTCTCTCCTCAGTTTATCACCACTGCTCTATGTGCAACAGCATCTTTATTCTCGTTTTCGCAGCAGATCATGTTTTTCCTGAAGTGGGAGGAGCAAGAGGAAAATGAGGGATTCCAACTAAATCCCAGGGCCCTCTCTGCCAAGCAGATGTGACTTCACACCATCCTCATAGCTGGCTGCAATGACTCAGCTCGGAAAACGGATAAAACAAACTCCCTACACATACACTCATGTAACAGGAAGCATGACCCAAATGGATTCTCCCCCCCCCGTACCCACCGGGAGACACACGAGATCTGCCTTTTTCTTCATAAATCAGTGTGCGCATGGCTGCCAGCAACACTCCCTTTGCACTCGAGCGCTGAAGGTGAAGTCATACATCAATACAGCAGGGGATATGGATGTGAGCATTCACACAAGCACTTTTTGCTGCAACAATAGGAAATGTATTGGTACGCATGAAAACCAAAGGCTCATTAGACTGTTAGGAACAGTCCGTTTAAATGTCAGGCAATGAGGAGAAGGTATTTATGCAGCTGTTTTCAGGTACCCTAAATGAGAACTAGTAAATAACTGACTAAAAGGGGAGAGCAGTGTAGCAGCAAGCGGCGTGTAAGTTCAGACAGCGAGCTTGAGCCCGTATGGCAGCAAAGCTGGGACAGCCCTCCTGTAGTCTGAGTAATGTCCTGTACAGGAGATCCCTGGGGGCACAATCTCTCCATCTCCCTCTCACTGCTGCTTCCAGAGTCAGAGTAATGTATGGCTATGTATGGTCAATGACAAGTCTCTTTAAACATCTGAAAAGTAAAACTGATGTACTAGTAGGTTTATGAAATCGACCATTCTCATATCTGCTCATAAAGTAGAAAATAATATTTTCTACTTTTCAAGGGTGAAAAAAGTCAGCATTTGGAAGCCAGAAGGGTTGGTGGTGACGGTGTTTAAAACTTTCAGTGCTCACATTGAAAACCAAAGTTACACATTACCATCATTACAAAAACCTCTGCTAGATTTAAACACTAAAAATTAGTCATCTGAGCAAAAATACACTAGTTCAATATACTTCCTGTAAAAATACATTAGTTTGAAAGTCACGCTAAATGACAAAAGGAAAAAAAAAAAGAAAAAATTGTGTTCATGAACACAAACAAATAGGTTGTGCTTTCATGATTATTTTCTATTAATTTACACCGGGTTTCTTTAACAGTGCGAGGGCCAATAGGATTCATTTTGTCCCTTGGACTTGGGAGAGCTATCATGATTAGAGACTGAAATGCAAGCACATATGCAGCTGCTTCCTAATTACAGCATTTGGAGAATGCACTTCATAGCTAACTAAAATGTGAGCTGTGTGTGTGTGCAGAGAAAATGGGGAGCGGCTACTCAACATCTACAGGGCAAAAGAACAGCAAGAGCCACTCAGGACCCATTATAACAGTGTTTGATGATCAATTTCACGCTTGGACCGCAGTGTTGTTACATCACCAACGTCGATGACACGGCCCCTCTTTATTCCACAACCCATGAATGCTATTGTAACCCAGGCATAGCAACAGGAGAAGGTTGGGGAGGTGTAGTGGGGCTGTGGCCTCAGTAGCTCTAGCCCTAAAGCCACCTGTCAGGGAGGCAGCTTGCTAGTTTAAAGAGGGATCTGTTACGCCTGAGCTAGCGGCACAAAAACAGGTCACCTGAGCTCTGGCTTCTCCTCCCAGCTGGGATACCATGTGACTCTGCTGGGCTCCTGAGCCAGGCAGCTTTGTCTCTGGTGTTTGGGCACTACACATGTGAGATCTCTGGAGACCAGGCAGCAGCTACACAGCTTAGCTCCACATGGCGAACAGACAGTTACTACACAGAGGTGCTACTGTTTCAGAGAATTAATGTCTGGAGATAAAAGAAGGGCACAAAAACAACAGGGGCTCTTCTTTCTGGCTTGTCAATACATCAATATACCAACAGACATCCTGCACACTTGTCTGGTTTCTTTATTGTCTCCATCTCTCTCTCTCTCTCTATTGCATAGTA